GGGGGGGGGGGGGGGGGGGGGGGGGGGGGGGGGGGGGGGGGGGTTTGGGAGGGCATGGAGGTAGGTTCATATGGTAAAGGAACCAAGGGGGAGAAGAGGAAGTGGGAAAGGACGGACAGACAGAGACATGAAGGAAAGGGTAGACTATGAAAAAAAAAAACAGCAAAGTTGAAGAAGACCGTGGAGGAGAACATGTGAAGAGCATGGCGGCTGGTTTCATGTGAGAGAGAAGGGGGAGTATGCCAGAGAAAGACAAACAGGAGGGCTCGGAGAGCTCAAAAGCCATGAATACTTTTCTGTATGAGCACCTTTGTGACACAAACAGGAAGACGTGAGATGGAATCATGTCTTCTTTTTATTTACCGATCCAACTACGCTGCTTGCCGAAAGGAAGAAATAAGTGGAGCATTTCAGAAAGCTGTAATTATGAGAATTGATCTGATTCAGGAGCTCAGAGTTGAGCCGGAAGCTCCGTCTGCAGGTGTAGGAGGTCTGGAGGGCACAGACTGCAACACCTGCACAGACGATGAGTCTTCCTTTTCTTTGGTTCTAGCCTCTTACAAACAAAAAATCATTCTCGTGCCGCAAATATCTGTGTCTCTGCTATGAGACGCAGAGTTTTAGGGCTGTGCAGTCAGAGTTTTGGCGGCACAGAGCTGAGAGTGGACAGAAGACAGCACTATGTGGTGGTGGTGAGGGGTCTTACAGAGGTCTGGGAGTCGAAGGGGGAGGGGCCATGCTGGAAGGGGTTAGGACTGTGGCTGTCCGGCGTGGCGGGGGAGGTACTCTGCCGCACGCGCCCGACTGGCTGGATGGCACCCGGTCGAGTCTGGAGAGAAAACAAATGATACTTCATGGAAGAGACCAACAATTTTGGAAATTCACAAATGTGGTTAGGATAAGGAAAATTATTTTTATTCAGACACACCAAACTTGAGGATGAATGGCAACTCAAAATGAATGTGGCGAATGAAGGATATGAAGTGCAGAGAAACTCAAATACAAAACACAACTTAAACAAAGGAAACCTATAACGAATCTGTACTAAAGGGAGTATATTGGCAAACATATTGGTAAACCAGTGTAATGACTCTAAGCTACAATAAAAGTGATTTCCTGATTTGCTACTCACTGATGAAGAAATGTGGTCAGTGTTGGCAGTAGGAGTGGAGGTGTAATGAAGGTTTGCCTGCAAATAAAAAAATAATGAAATAAGACGATGACAATGAAATGCTTGATTTAGCGCCATCTACTTTCACTTCAAACCAACAGTGCATACGGTCACTGAATGTTGACTATTGGAGGATGCCAGGCCATATAAAGACACAATCAAACAATGCAACAGCACCAGCGTTTACCTGAATTATAGAATTAGTTCTACACTGGTGACTTTGCTCATGAAAAATAGAACCTTATATTTTCTCCGTTGAGAGTCTGAAGCCACAGCTGGTCAGTAGCGACATTAAAACAATCCATTTCTTCCAGTCTGCATGAGGCAAAGCATCATTAGTCAGCTGGCCCTGGAGAAGCAGCCACATGCTGTTCAGACTGGTAGGACCGCAGCAGACGCGGTCGCTGCACTAGTTATGTTTTAATAACAGATGGAAACAATTACAAGAAACAATCCAGGCCAGAGCAGAGAGGGCCAGCAGACCCACTTACGAAGCGGGTCTCCCTGCCTGCATACAGGGAGCTGTTGGAAGAGTGGTTGCTGGGCTATGGGTGGGAGGAAAAGTCAAAAGGGTCAACTGTAAAATAGCAGCAGGAATGACTGATGGAAAAGGAGAAAACAAAGTAAAAAGATGGAAGGAGGACAGCAGAGGAGCGACGGGTGTAGAGGCTGCTCACCGGTTGGATCGTGGGAGAGTACGGTGCTTCTCTGATCGGGCTCTCAGTCCTGGTGAAATCAGAAGGTGCCTGGAAAAGATCAAACACCAAAAACACACTTAACAACTGCTCCGACTTTCACTCTGTGCACCGACAAAACAACGCAGTAAAGACAAAGCAAAACAAGCATCGACTGGTTAGTCCTGTGGAGAAGTGATCCTGCAGTAAATTCAACCAACGACAAAGCTGTTGCTGGTGAACCTGCGTTTGCAGGCCGCGTTCCTTCATGACCTATGACCTCCCTCGCAGCTGTTGGGACAGACATTCCAGTCGGTCCTGATTATGTACCGACTACGTGCCAAAATACCTCAAGAGGTGCTCGCAGCAAAAACATGCACCAGTTCAGCTGATTGTTGCACTGAGATTAAAACACAACGTGGACACACACAAAGCCTGAAAGGAAAGACGTTTTGGCAAAGGGTTAAAAATAATGAATTGGTTAACAACATTGTTGCAGATTCTGTTGATGCATACTTGTTATACGCTAACCCCCCTAAAGAGTGAAAGGTGCTTCTTCGGGTTAAAATGAACCATTTCAGGTTACAACTTCCACACAGCCTTGATGCAAATGATCCTTTTGAAGGGACACAGGTGAGCCAAACAACAAACTGTGCGGTAACACACCATGCTGCCTCCAAACCACACTCAGCAGGCGGCTTGCCTTGTTGAACAACCAGGGCTGCAGCTGGCCTTGCTTCCCGTAGCCCACCGGGGGCCCCGACAGGACCTGCTGTCCGGCCGGACGACCCTTTCCTCTGCGATTGGCCACCAAGAACGGGTTCTCTTTGAAGCAGATGGGCTGAGAGTCCACCAGGCTTTCCTCTTCTTCAGGTACAAATGAATTAAGGGTTGTTGATGAGCCAGCACTGTCGGCAGTGGAGGTCCCATTTGGGGAGAACTGGGGGTCATGAAGGTAATCGTGCTCCGTGTTCAGACAGGGGCAGGACTCGGGGTCCGTGTGGTCGAGGGGGTTCGCGGGGTGGATTAAGCCAAAGCCCAGAGGCTCTAAAGGGGCTCCGTACTGGGCCTGCAGGGGGGCCTCCATGGAAGCAGTCAGACTTTCAGAGGTAGACAACTGGACAGGAGCAAAGGAAAGAGGCAGCACAGATACAGTAAAGTAAAGAATAAGAACTGACAGGAAAGGTTCCACTCACACAAACTGAATCATCACGAGTGGAGTTTAAAAGAATAAAGATGAACACTTTAAAAACAGATGAGAGAGAAAGAGATTGAAAGATAATTCTTCTATTTTCATATGTTTGGCCATTATTTCAATCAGTTATGATAACATTGTTTTAAATAAAGTAATTGCTGACATCAGGGTACACCGTGACATCTCTACAGTGAGATATACTGAAATATTGACTTTCATCACAAGTTAAAATAGGCTTTATTTGGAGGGAAAACCTGTGTAATGTAACACATATCTGGTGCGCTCACTTCTCTATAATATATAATATTAAACAGATAGTTTGTGTATTAATGATTGGCTTTTGTTTTATCTTCAAAATAAGCTTTGCTTACAACTTTTTACAACTGGTCACTGCTGATTGGCTCTCATAACTGGTCTGGTGGGATATTAAAACACTTGTAAATCACCACTGAATTGGCATATGTTAATGTTTGCTCTAATAAACGTCCTTGTTGATTTGTTTGAAATTAACAGCAGGCGCTACAACAGCTTCAATGGCTCGTTGCAGCTCTAGCTCCGAACACATTACAAACAAATAGAACCTGACACCAGATGAGAAGAGTGATTCCTCGGTGTGCTATGATGAGCTTCTATAAATAGACACTTGACACACACACACAAGCCTCTGGCTGCTAAAAGCAGTTACTCACATCCCTAAATCTTTCCTGGAGCCTTAAAGACACATTTCTCAGTTACCCATCATTCAACACTTGTTAACTGCTGCTGTATGCCACTGGACACGTCACTGCAGAACAGACTCTTGGCCGCTGCCTTAAATAACCGTATTATCAGATCGGCGAGACATTCCGGCTCCAGCACACCTTCAACTGCTACTGTACTGAACATAGAGGACGAGTACAGTCACTGTAGGAGGGGAGATAATACGCAACCCACGTAAAGAAACAAAGAAGAGTTTTTACAAACCCAACACCAAAGAAATGCCTCCGAAAAAACCTCAAGTCAGCCCAGATAGATGTGGCATTAATTCAGTGTGACCTTGACGTACGCGGTGCTAATCTAAATAGCCAGACTAAGAATACAACAAGCATTGTGAGGCAGCAATGTGGCTCCCTACATGCTGACTGTCAGAATCTGTGGTGTGATGAGGGTCAGTGGGATGGAATGTGAGCGAGTGCCCTTTTGGCTCTGACACAGTCTGTGAGGGACAGCTGGGGTTTGGTTTGGAGAGCGAGGCTGCTGGTCTGCCGGCGGGCCGACACGCTGAGCTGGGAACCAGTAACTGAATCAGTTTCTCTCTCTAGTGTAGAAGTGCTTCTCAGAGGAACAGATCAGATCAGATGGATTGTAAACATCAAGGACAATGATGGAAAATAAGTCCAGGACTCAATCGTTCCTGCCAGAGATAGAACAATATGTTGTATATTATGAGTATATTACAATGTTGTCAATAAACCAAACCAAACCAAAGCTCAGGGGGACGGGGTGTCTCCCTGGGACCGGTTCTGGGTCTAATTAGGTATCAGTCTCCTCTGTGACTATGTGATCCTGTAGAAACACTGTTTCTGTTTTGTTTCTCTTTCCTTCTGGATGTTATTTGTTTTTTTGGGTGGATTTGTGTACTGGAGTCTGCCTCCATAAAATAAAAAGGTGCCTTGTGATCTTAAACGAATACACGTTTAAGTTAAAAAGTACATAAATAAATCAAACCAGAAGTTCCTTTCAAAGCAATTGTACGTTTACCACAATTTACTCTCAACTCTCATTTCCAGCACATCATGCTGGACACCTCACTTCTCATAAAAAGCAGAATTAACTTGTCACTATCAGTAAAACACACCAGGAAAAACTTTGGTTCCAACTTGCTGGAAGTATTAAGGAGTCACTGTGAGACAGTTTGAGCAGGAACACGTGAGATGGAGCAGCAGACCCAGCTCCAACGCACCGACCAGTAACAGCTGCTTACTGTGTGACATGTTCTTCAAGTTACACTGGACTATCTAAACAAGACAGAGATCCACAAGGAGAGTCATGATACAGTTATGTGACCCAAGTTTATAAAAAGGAACAATAATTATTTCTTTGGTATAGTTCAAAGGTAATCTAATCATTTTAGTGATCATGTTTCAAAGAACTCTTCTCTTTGAGGCCTAACACAGACACACAGCTGGATCACAATAAAGTGAAAGAGAAGGAAATGAAAACAGAAAAATGAAGAACCTAAAACAAGTCGGCTCTCCATACTCACTGTAGGATGGGAACAGGACACTCGCTGTAGTTCTTCTCAGACTTACTCCTCAGAGGACTTTGGGAGCTCCGACTGAAACACTTGTCGGTTCCTCTTAGACGACAGCCTCCCTCCCTGTCTGACACCCCCACCCACCCACGAGACTCCATCCAATTCAGAGCCAGATGCAGGTTTAAAATATCGCAGAGGATAGGCCGGTTGATAGCAGGCAGCTGTCCCCTGCCCCCCACCCCCCATCTTGCCACCTCTTTCCCACACTCCCACTCTCTATCAACCAGGACAGCGCCTGCCGTTCGGCCACGCTTCATTTCAAGTCCTTCTCCACACACTCTTTTCCTCCGTTTTAGTTTTCTGGTCTTCACTTTCTTTTTCTTTTTCCAGACTTCTCGATCAGTCCTTGATCTTCGTGTTATTTCTTCAACCTGGGTCGATCACATCCGCTCTTGTTCTTTGATGCAGGGCACGATTACATCAGTCGGAAGTGACAAGTTGCATGGGTTTGGCCTTGGAGCCAAGGTTAGTGACTTGGGGGTTTTGCTCATGGAGGGAGGTTAACATTCCTGCTCCTGGAGGGGCAACTGGTCGGCTCGGGTCACTCAAGAATTTCCCGTGACCCAAAAAACCAAGGAAATTCCATGAAGAGGTCTATTCTGAGCTATGAAGGCCATTTCCATCATAGCCTGTACAGAAATGCAAGCAATGTACAGCTCGAGAGCGTCACACTGTTTTTCAAACATGTTGAAAAAGTTTGTGTAAAAACCTGAGGAAGTTCTACCCGGAGACTCAAGAACATAGAGGGAGACTCACCCTGTTGAGCTTCTGCAGGCTGGTGGTGGGCAGAGCCGCCAGGGTCTTATAGTCAAGTTTTAGAGGTCCAGTTCCAAGGTTCTAAACAGAAACAAACAGAACAGAGGTGAGTGGTGGACTGGGCTGATGGTTATTACACAACGAGCAAGAATCTAGTCAAAGTGAATTAGTTTTACTGGAGGAGACTACTGTAGAGAACCATTCCTGTGAAGTAAAGGACCTACACTTTTATATTATAAATGTGAACTGGATGAATTGCCCAACATATGTGTTGTTATATTTAAGGACGAGTCTGGTGGTATTATATAAAAAGACAAGATCCTACTAGCAACTATGGTATGTTTAGCCAAACCCTGGCTTAGCTCGTTCTTCTGTGCCAGACTTTCATTGTTCTCCAAAACTATGAAGAACATTAACTGTTGCACTGGAATCCCTCATACAACATCCTGCTGTAGTAGTGCACCAAAAACAGTGAGTCAATTAATTTAGTCTTTTTTTAAGAAACATGTATACGTCTGTATTTGTGTACATGTACATTTTAGTGATAATCACAACCACAGGCATGCAAACCCATCAGGGGTCCGGGGTGGAGGGACTCGCTAGTGAAGAAGAACGTGTTTATTGCTCTTTATCGCTATTGCAACAATTAAAATACGAGGCTTAGATACGACCTTTATAATCTGATTTCACAACCACTACAAGTCATTTCAATTCAGTTTCTCTCGTTGTCAGTGAGCTTGGCATTTGCCTATTTCTCAAGCGACATAATGGCTACTGCAAGAGTTCAGTTAAAGTACGTAATAACTAGCGTGTGCGTAACGTGCATGCTGTGTGTGTGTGTGACGCTGTGTGCCACACGTAATTGAATATAAGAAGAACAAAGAAAAAGAGTCTATTTTCCCTGAAAGGGATGAACAACGTGGTGAAATCCCGTGGAGGCTGTGCTGTTGTTTTGCACAGACTTCCGGGAAGATCGTCTGCAGACCTGCCGACGAGGAGTGTCTCACCTCAGTCTCCTCTTCTAGCAGGCGAGTTGCCTCCTCGCGCTCCAAGCGCATACGCTCCTTCACCAAGAAAGGAAGGGGAGGAAGAGAGTAGAGGAGGGAGGAGACCCAACCACGCACAGCCACACGGTGATGCGATGAGCGGTGAAATGAGAAGATGGAGGATTTACAGAAGAGGAACGCAGTGATGCAGGGAGTGAAGAGGAGAAACACAACAGTGGAGAAGTGGTATGGAGATGGAATGATTGGATGATTTTTGTATTTTTTATTCATCAGGCCAAACACACCAAAAGCAAAAGGAAAGATGAGAGAGAGAAAAACAGAAGAGAAAGAAAGGATAGAATCCGCACACATTAAAAAAGTACTCTATTCATTAGCTATGGGAGCAGAAAAAAAGCATGCAAGGTAGGACATTGCAGGAATAGTTGTCAAACACAATACACACACACACACAGGGTACAGAGGAGAAGCTTCATTCACCCGATAGACAAACCTGAACTTCTGCCTCTTATAGCTCCACCCTACAGTACTGTGCAGTTCTGCATAAATGTCATTCCCTTGCTTCGCTGTATTGCCGTCTATCTGCTGATCTGATACAATTTTACCTCCAGCCTTCCCCCAAAGCAGTCTTAGATTTTCACTTTCACGTACCACTTTCTCCATCTCTTCTCGCTCCCACTGCGACGTCTCTCTCACCATCTCAGACTCCTGGAGAAGAGCGACATTTAATATCTTTACAAACCCAATTAACATCCGGTGAATCTTAGCGGAGGAGTGATTTAAAACAATGCACTTTCCGTGTAAATTATTTTGTGACTGTGTGCGCTCTGGATTCTCTGGACTGATCAAAGTGTGCAGAGGAACTAACAACAAGCCCCCACATTCCTTTAGTACGGGCAGTCTCCCAAAAGCTCATCTGGACAAAATAAACTACTGTGTTGGCGATTCCTGGGTGCTGTGGTGAAAAGATGGGGATGTGTGGTGAGCAGGGTTGGAGCGAGTCAAACTCTACTGTCGTTAAAAACTTCCCCTGCAAACTGTACTGAAGGCAGAGAGTCGGTGTGACAGAATCGCTAAAACAAACAGCTGATTCACGTGTTGACTTGACCGCTGTCATCACAAAACTGACAAACTGATTCCTGGTATGTGGATGAATGGAGTGTTTCCTGGAGTCACATCCCTTTACTCAGTGCTTTAATGCACAGAGACTGCAATAACCCGACCTTTAAGCTAGGGTGGGTAATGTAATTTAGAAACACTACAAAAGCCATATTCATTGTTCACTTTCATAATAACAATTTTGGGGGAGTGGCTTTGGAGGGAGGTCTGACTGGACGGGCTGTCAGTGTTGCTGACTTGGCAACTTTCTGGGCTAGTGCTGCTAGCTACTTTCATCTAAAACGATTTGGCAACACCGGGTTGGATTTTTTTCAGTTGGACACATTCAAAATCTAGCTTACTCTCGCTGTTTTATCCAATGTTACCTACTCTTTAGCTTTAACTGCTTTACATGTTTACCTTGGTAATTAAGATATACATCAGTGAAGATACATGATGAGTGTAAAAACAGTGCATAATCTGTTTTGTACCTTCTGCATGATTTCCATCTCCTCTGGGCTCAGGTCTCGGTCTATAGAAGAGATGCTTTCCATACTGTTCTTACGGACGATGCCGGAAGCGAATGGGTTGGCAATGATGCCGGGAGACGCCTGGAAATGCACCAAAAAAAAGTGTAATTTAAAAATTGGGCAACATTAAACATCATCAACACTGTTGGCAATGTTGTCCAAATGAACCTGTTCCTGGTGTCTCACCTCCACGGCAGCCACCTTTTGTGGGTCGAAGCCGTCACACATCAGCATGACCAGAGAGTCTCCCACAGCTCGAAGCACTCGCACCGCCTCTGTGTGCGTCATCCCCAGCAGGCTGTGGTTGTTCACCTCCAGGATTCGCATGCCAACCTGCAGTCGGCTGTCTCTCGCTGCTGCACCGCTCAAACTCACCTGTTTAAATAGTAACCAAAGTATGAGTACGTTGAATGCTAATACTGCCTGTGATAACCTATAAATATAATTGTAATTCAGGCACATATATTACAATATCCTCTTAAAACTTTTTCTTTAATTTGTCAAACTTAATACCACTTTTTGCTCAGTAGCAATTTGCATTGTTTTGTTGTTCTGCAGAGCAGTCAAGACAGAGACTGTTTGTATCCAACCAGCATCTAAAGCTAAAGGGAAGACACCATTTGCTTCAAAAGTGGTGAAAAAGCCTTAAGAAATATTGAACTGCAAAGCATTACCTACATACATGCATACATTGTATATAATTTCAGAACCTTGGAGATGAAGATGCCCTCATCTGTGGCATCAAAGGGGTTTCCTGCATGACCCTTGGCTCCTCCACGAATACTGATGCCAAGCTTCTCCCCTGGCTGCTTCTGGATCACAATTTCCTGCAATGACGTATACACAGCTCATCAGCGTTTGCCTCCGTTACGCTTACGTTAGTTTATGCATCTTCTTTTGAGTCACCTGCATCCCAGGCGGTGAAGGGTCCCTCCGCACCAACATACGGATCTCCTGCTTGTTGGCCAGCAGCGCTCGCACCGCCTCCTGGTGCGTAGCGTGACGCAGGTCGATGGCGTTCACTTCTAAAATCCGGTCCCCGACACGCAGTCCACTTTCACATGCCAGACCGTGAGGAATCACCTGATGATGACGACAAGGGTGGGAAGTTAAACACAACACATATTTTAGGACACGAAAAAAAAAAAAAAACGCAAAATTTGAAAAGTCCTACCTTTGAGATAAACACTCCTGGTTCATTGATGCCGAACGGGTGACTGGCGTGATCACTGCCTCCCACGATGCTCAGGCCTAGAGGGCCACCTGACTTCAGCAGGGTTACTTCCTGTTAGGGTTAGAGGTGGAAGATGTGTTGTAGCAAGAGATTTTGAAAAAGTTTCAAGCCTAAATCTAACAAAAGTGGAAACCTCAGGTTACAGTCATGTCTACATCTATATGTCTAATAAACACAAACCAACCTACTGTATGCAGGTACTGTATCTCTACAGGCATACACCTCTATCAGGTAAACAGCTATATCTTTGCATTGTTAAAAACTGGAAATGCTACACTCTAAAGTACACCATTATGTAAATTGGACCAAGCCTTCATACCATGAACCATCTTCTCTGGAACTGGACAGCATTAACAATAAGGCAGGGGCCAAATAAACAAACATTAAGGCTGGATGCCTCGTGAGGCTTCTACAGCATGGCCTAATATGATTAAAAGCTATCGAACACATTTAAGTACTAAAGTGGTGCCTCAGAGCTCTCACCTCGATGGGATACTCGTCCTCCATCCGGCTCAGGTTGTTCCCTTGCATGTTGAGGCCGTCCTCCTCCTGGTCTGGTGAATCTGAGGGCTCTGGGGGTGGAGGGGAGTGGGCTCGTGCCCGGGATTGACCCGGAGAGCCCCCTGGTGCATTGGGGTCTCGCTCCACCAGGAGGGAGATGGTGGGGGAGGTGCCGGTAAGGAGCGCTACTGCCTGGTCATGCCTGGCCTCTGTCATGTCTACACCATTGATCTGGATCGACAGTAAAACCAACCACGGAGGGTGTCAGCCCACCGAGACGCTCTCGACAACACCGGTGTGTCATCAACATGATGAACATTTAAAAAAAACAACTGCATCCTGCCGTCATGTCTCCTTACACCAGATTCTACACCGGATTACTCAAAATGATCTATTCAACATCTAACACACTAAATCAATGAAAGTTTGTGAGTACTGTTATGTGAAGAAGAAGCCAACACCAGTACAGAGCAACAGGAGCAGGCAGAGAGAAGAGGGAGCGGGGAGGACGGGGGACAGCAGGCTGCTGCTGGCAGAACTTCCCTGAGGAAGAAAAGCTAATATCAAGCTACGCTATGTTTCCCCAAAAGGTTTCCTGAAGTCAGCTGATGCTGCTCTTGTTTATTTTAAGACGCAATGTCCTTCCGATTCCGATTTCTTTAAAGTCTGATGTGACGATTTTAACCATAATTGGCAGAAGAGCCGCTCACTGCGTTAGCATGCATGGGAATAACTTACAACTAAATATAACACTGATTGGCTGGTCACCAGTCATGGCGGATCAGCTTCGATTTTTGGCCGATCAATCGGTGCATCTCTACTTTTAATGTAATCGGTTAAACACTTCCCACTCCTCCTTGCCTTTGTCTACTTAAAACACAAGTGAACGTGTGTAGTTTCAAGTCAAAAAAGGCAAGCAGACAGCTTTGTCAAAGAATTATTGAATCATTAGTTCTGCTAACCTTGGTTTTTAGATTAAGGGGAGCTTTCAGGCATGCACAGTCTTTAACGGTACTCTGGTCAAAAGTGACAAGCAGAGGTCAGCGCTGACCCGACAGTACCCGCTCTTACCATCGGCTGATATGCTGCGACATACAGGCTCAGCCCACTCCACCCTAACACCTCGCCCACCACCAAGCAGGCAAGGAGATGCACTTAATACATTAGTGAGCATGCAGATGGAGAGAGAGTGATTAAGAGAAAAACAGAGGCAACCTACAAATCCACAAAAGAAGAAAGAGAGGTGAAAAACTGCCATAGGGGAAAAGGAGAGAGACCCCGAAAGAAAGCAAAGAGGATCATTCAAGAAGCTTCTCTGGGACTCACAGCGAGGAGGACGTCATTACAGAAACAGATTAGGAGAACTTTCACATTTGGCACACTAGTGGAGGAACCTCAGGACGAATCAAAATCAATTATCGGTTTACATTAAAACTGTGTGACGTGTGTGTGCATGATACAAAACATGCAACTCAAGATTAACTGATATGCTGACAGAAAAAATTAAGTGTGATCAGCACGGAAAACTAAAGAGCATGGAGAGGTCATGCAACACATGTAACCTAAATGCTGCACTGTTTAACCCAGAGTCTCTCCTCGGATGCAGACAAAGTAGTGCTTTAAAGTTATGGTTAGTAGGCAAACTGTATTAGTATTCTGAGGAGTTAATGTTCCACTCCTAGTAATCAAGGCTAAAGGAGGAAAATGGTTCCCATTCCAACATGAATGTAAACATAGTAAAGGAAGCCTCCTTGTGTTGAGGAGTCGTACTCACAGACATCACCCTGTCGCCTACATGCAGCGTGCCTTCTCTGTGCGCTGCTCCTCCTTCTGCAATCCGAGAGATGTAGATTCCCTGAAAAAAACAAAAACAAGAAACATTGTCAACTCTTTTGTACATGTGTGGATGAATTACTCACAGTTACTGTGCACTTTCTGTTTGTTAAGTACTACATATAAAAGAGACGTTTCTATTATTCTGTATCTGTAATTATTCCACAAACCTCTCTGGTCTGTGTATCATATTAGACAGGGTCGGTTTTAAAAGGGTCTGGTGCAACAGGCTGCAATGTCTACACGCTGAGTTCCTCCGTCACTGTGTGACATCTCACAGTGTGGATCTAATCCACAAACACAACTACACTATATAAAGTGTGCCAGAGGTAATGAGTAAAGGGATTCTGAGATATTAGCAGCCACATAAAGAAACCCACACACACATTACAGCTGATTAACAGCATCGTCTTTCATTAGGACACATTAGGACTCTACAGCACAAATCATGACCCCTGAGACATACATTTTTACACAATTTGAACTAATAACAACTCTTTTTCTGCATTAAACAAAATGTGCAAACACATGCAGGAGCTACTGCACCAGATCAAGCGAGTCACTGCATCCACTTTCAAAAGCCTTACAGTCAGTTGCCTAAATCATACGTTCTCTTTGTGGGCTTGTTGAGCTGCATGAGTTCCAACGCACAATTGCACTTCGCCCCAAATATACACCTCGCCCCGTCCAGTTAGAGCGGACCTATCAGGTGTCAGGGCTGGCTATTCATATCTCCGTCTCCCTGGAGATGATGTAAACGCTGCGGCTAGAATAGACGATGTTAAAAGACAGATCTCTGTGACTGAGACGTTACTGCGCTACAGTGACCTCACTTCCCAACTTTAAACCTATTATTAATGACTGCATGGTAGATTTTATCTTTAGATCATCCCTCACGATCATCCTTCTCTTTTAACTGAAACTTATGATCTCAATCGACTACACACTTCACTCGGAGATGTTCTTCATCGTCCTTACAAAAGATTTGTCTGTGTTTGGTGGGGGCACAGCAGACTCACCGTGTCTGTTGTGCGGAAGGCCGTGGAGCCTTTGCCCCCGGCGATGCTGAATCCCAGCCCCTTGTCGTTTCGGATCAGGCAGGTGGAGAACCGCTGGAGAGGCCCGCTGGGAGCCGGCTCCATGTTGAAGGCGATGCCGCTGCTCCGTCTCTCCCGCGGGAAGTAGTCGTCCTCCGGCCTCAGCGGCGTGGTCGTGATGGCGTTCTCTGGCTCCACCATTCGCTCCCGCAGCACCGACATGGAGACCGTGGCACCGGAGCTACGAAGAGCTTCGACCGCTGTGTGGTGTTCTGCTTCGTTGAGGTCCACTCCATTCACCTGAGACAGACAGACCAAGAGAGTGACTGACTTGTAATTCACATCTCTTACAATAAAACAGAGGAATATGTTGCTCAAGTTAAGAAAATGCTTTACCTCTAGGAGTTTGTCTCCCACTTTAACACCTGCTCTGGCTGCAGGACCCTCTTCAGATACTCTGGAGATGAAGATTCCCTGAACACACAAACAAAAAGAAATGAGTATAATCAGTGCCTTCTGATTTGTCCAACGTATCAAGACTCAAAGTACACATCTTACCTCATCATCCCCCTTGTAAGGTGTGGATCCTTTCCCTCCAGCAATGCTGATTCCCAGGCCGCCAGTTTGTCGCATGATGGTCAGGTTGTGCTGCAAGTTGAGGACGGCGGAGTCAGCACAACTACTAGTGAAACGCTCCAGACACCACTCAGCTCCGGACAGATTCAGGGAGGCGAGCCCACAATGGTGCTACTTTTATAAATAATTTAAGGTTATAAACGTAGATTTTCACATCTTAAGCATTATGATATATAAATTATGGGTGACCTCCCTCCTTCTGCCAGAAGGTGGTGTCAATCTTCTCACATCCTGTCAACATGCCAACATGATGGATGGAGAGACACTTTGACGTGTCCGGAGCCTAATGTCAGTTTTAAGTGGAAGTTGGATGATTTGTGCCTTGAATTTAGCTTTAAAAGATATTTTAAGTTGGTAGGTTTTGTGTTTTATTGCAACATATTGTTAATCTACCAGTAACCACTTAACTGACAGTTGACTTCAGACATAAAGTGAACAAACACACCTTCTAAAGCCCTCTTCAGTTGCACTCAAGGAGCTAGGCCCTTACTGGAAACATACAATGTGTCTTGTGTACGTACAGGATGAGGGACTTTAAAAAATGTGAGGTAAACACTAAGTAAGGCGTAACAGACCGCGTGTATTCTGTGTACTTGCAAGCCATGCAAAAAGGGAGAGGAAGGCAGACAAATGAGGGACAGGTGGAAGGAAACAGGGAGATGTCAAGAGTGACAGATGAAGAGTGTGCTGTGTCCTGGATGTGTTGATGCCCCAGCATTTGTTGTAATGAGACAACATTATTCACTTCTTAAGCAAACAAATCAGACATGGATACAAATATCTTTGAGTTCACAAATACTTAACCGGCAGATTCAATGTTCATGCTACTAAATTACTTAAAATTTCAAGTTTCAGTACAGATTTTCTTCTCCAAGAATAACAGCATAAGAGAGTATTCATATACAACATTATAAACAAAAGCATGCAATAAAAATGATTGTTTGCACATGACTTCATTTTTGCATTGCTAATCTGTCGATTTTTTCCTTTGTTTACAGTATGAAAATTAGACTACACGGAGGTAAACTCCCATCCGTCTTCATCAGCCTGGAGATCGTCCTCCGGTTGGCAGTGGAGTTACCGGCTGTGTACCAAACAAAAGCACCTGGAGGAAGCTGGTGAATCGGCCCATTCATTCCAGGGCAACACAGCGTGGACAGGGGAGGAAAAGGAGCGAAGCAGCAGAAGCAGAGGAAAGGTAGAGAGGCAGAGACGCAGTGTGGCAGAACCTGATGCTGGACGGAGATTCACACCGTATTTCGGGGGTTTTGATCTGGGCCAGGACTTCCTCTTTCGTTGGGTGGTCATTGTTTAAAATTTGATTCGCAACTTGAGACGCAAGAATGGAGTTTGAGTTGAGAGACGACTTCTACGACCGGATTATTTGACATCACAAAAAGCCAATTTAAACTCAGGTGACGGTTTATTTATTAACCAATAAAAAATAACCCGTCAGACGACTCTTTCGCTCTCCACACGGACTGTTAACCTGCATGCAACCAAGGCCCGCTCAATCATGATTGGTCAATACTACTCTGACTACAAACTGAACCCACAACATTTCAGATAACCAAAATCATGTCCAGTTGCCTACAGATTATGCAAAATATCTCTTTATCGAGATGTCTATGCCATGAAGGGAGCTGCTGTTCATTGTGGTTCTACATCATATGCAGTGATATCGATTTTAAGTCGTGAGTCATTGCAGACTCTGCTGTTACTCAGAGTTCTGTATGTGATATTTACTCAGCTCTGTTTATTCAGCGGATGGCCAAACAAAACTCAAAGATGAAATAATTCTGTGTAACTAACAGGCTTTCCTGGAGGACATAAGATAATCAACATGCAGGGTTTTTAAGCTTAACCCTTTCCTGCATCAACAAAAGAGAAATGGAGTTACCTCTCACGGTAGCGTTAACTAACTAAATAAGTAGGCGAGGTCGGATTCATTTCATAATTTTTAGTCTTCAAAATGTGAGGGAGCTGCATGTTGTACGATTGTCACATAATGATTCCTTATTCGCAAAGAATCAGTTAGCGTGTGTGCAGCAGATAGTTAGCCAATGCTAACCTCACTGGCTTGGAGTCAGTTAAAAAGAGGACAAAGTGCATTATCGAAAATTATTAAATGGGTCAGGGACTCTAAAGAAAGATTGTTGATATTTGAACTCAACACCTGAACAAATACACCCTCCACATGTACTGTCCCACTCTGTTTGTCTTTAAGCCTCCGTTACTCCCACAATGTGTGAAGAAATCAATAAATGTAATAAATCGTGGCTACTTCATTCCTGCCTTCAGGTTCCGCCACACTGGCGGTCTCAGAGATGAGTTGTGGTTAGGGGGTCCCTAGTGATTGACTTGGATTAACCATGGATTTCTGTGGGAACGTCCTCCCCCTCTGAATACAGGCGAATGAGTGGGTGAGTCAGGGACACAGAGAGACAGACTGGACGGGAAAGAGTATGTACAGACCTCTTCCTCCTCAATTCGAGCAGGTTCAATCAGCAGATTATTGACTTGATCAAATGACACCCCCTGTTAGGACAGGAACCAGCGAGAGGCATGCGGATTAGTCAGGCCAAAATAAAAATATGCTCGCTCACTCACTCACACACACACACACACACACACACACACACACACACACACACACAC